CAGGAACATACTGTCCACCATCTCTCTCTAATTGGTGTGATTTTTGCATGCAGACAAGAAATAAAATGAAGACAGCTTACCTGCTAAAATTAGAAGCATTACTTTTGCATTGGATTTGTGCGTGTATAAAGAGAGGGGGCATTCACTATTTCTCTGAAAGCTGATTTCTCAGCTATAATTAAAATGTTGTGTATGTCCTATTCTCCCCTTCACTACAATTACTCAAGCTTTGTAGTAAGCTTTCTAATAAAAAGAAGTTACTTCCACATAAGACAATGTGGAGACTATTAATGGGTATCAAAGGTACCTTTCTAGCTGCTATAGTGAAGAATATGTCAGCATTTACATGCTAATTCCTACTATAAAAGCAGAAGTTCTAAAATGCACTATAAATATTCGCTCCAGGATATATATATATATAAAAATTGTAATTTACATTACAACTCCATTTAACTGAAGTCCAGTTCACCAGTATGCACACATATCAAGGTTTAGTTAACTTACAAGTTTGAAAAGCTTGGCCTGCTGCTGTACAAAACTAAACTCACCTGCACTTTCCCATTTCCCTTTCAAAAATCTCACACTCAGTCTCTCTCTCTCTCTCTTTCTCCTCCTAACCCCAAATCACACGCATACTCCTGTCTTCCTTAAAAAGAAATACACGTATGTACACACAGTCTTGTCTGAGGCTCTCACTTGGTTCCCCCACTAAATTCTCACATCTACAACTACCCATATTGCCAAAGTTTTTCTCAACAAAATCACACACATGCCAAGATTCCCCCTCAGGTACAGGACAGCACCCTCTGCAGTTTAACACACACACTCCCCAACTCAGACTGCTGGCACCCAAACCCCTCGGTAACTCCTCACCCCATACACAGTCCTCTCCCCCACGCTCACATACATTGAACCACCTTCCTGTCTCTCCCTCTCCCACTCTTTTTCAGAGTTACCTGACTGTGGAGTGGCTCTAAGCAGCCTCCCCGATTGTCCACATTGCCTCCAGCGGCAGAAGAATAAGCTTTTCAGAAGCTGGAGCTTCTTTCTCCTCTGCTGCCTTTGCAAAAGCAGACACAGAACATGAGCCAGGGTTGGGGGCTAAATAGTTTAGGCTGGGGGACCCTTCAGGCTGAATTAAGGATATTCAGGGTCTTAAGCATATCCCACATGGGGGACTTCCTATACACTGGCCCCATCCCTCTACATTATGGCAATGCCCCCCCCTCCAGGTTGTGGGCACCCCCATTTAAGGTGGTAGAAACTGAGGATTCTGTTCCCCTGGCTGCTAAGAAGTATGGCAGGGTCTGTGGTTCCCCTCATCCTTGTTTACAAGGCACCAAATGGGTCTTGGGTCCTCCTCACTCCTTCCTCCTTCTGGACCACCTCCCCTCAAAGGATTCCCTGCTCAAGAGAGGTGGCAGGGTCTTCTGCCGTCTTCACATGGCTAACTGGAGCAGAAGTATTCCCTGCCCTGAAGAGTTTACAATCTAAGTACAAGACTGGATACAGCAGATGGGAGATCACAAAGAAAGAATGAAACAATACTATCACCTCTACTGCCAACAAGGGGAGGGAAAAATATGAAAACAACCCCAATCCGTCTTTAAAAATTAGTTTAATCTAAACTGGAATCACAAACACTAAAATGCATTAATCATCACTGTACAATTATTGCATGGTCTCACTAGGGCCAGAGTTAAGATTGTTTTGGGTGCCTTAACTATGCATTTCCATATCTTAATGTGTTTGGATTTCTTTTAAGTGTAAGCCTAACTCTGAATTTCCTGGGTTTGTAATGTTTGATTTTTGGATAATCAGAACATTCCTGTAATTATTTTTTACTCCTAAATTACTGATGCGTACTCTTTTAACTCTGTTTTAATGTCATTTTTGTCTTTATATATATTTTCCAAATTTGAGAGTACATATCAGTAACTTTACTTAATATATTCAAAAATAATAGTTTGGTTATGGTTGTGAAGTGCAATTCAAGAGAAGATGTGCCAGCGAACAACCCCAATCACAAGCTAAGATTACATAAACAACTCTGACACCAACGTTCTCTGTCTCACACGCACACACAAGACTGGCACCTAAGCAATTTTAACTGTGTCCTTGTAACAAAATTCAATTAGCAATTCAAGAGTACCTGAAAAATCTGTCTGTCCCTCCATCCAGCTAACGTTTCTTATGTGCCCATGACCATAGCATACGGACATCCAAACAACCATATTTTCTTACTGAGCAAAACAATTCCATCTACCTCTAATAAGACAAATATTATTAGAGGTAAAGCTACTTTATAGCATGATTTTTACACCAATTCATAAAAATATGTTCAGGAATGGATCATGTTTGTATTCAGGGCTCAATTCAGCACCTTTCTCCAATGCAGAATTCTCTTTAAAAAATACTGTTTTTAAAAAAGGTTAAAGATTTTTCCTTTACAAATACAAAAAAGATTGTAAATGTTTCTTTAAGAAGTCTCAATGTATGCAAACATTTGTTTTAGTTTCATAGGCCACGTCTAACTTTGGTCGATGCAAGTTATACTGGCATAAAGCCGCTGCAGTTAGTGTATCGCTTGTGCACCTGCATACATGGCTCCTTGCGTCAGTGCTGTGCATACTCACCAGGAAATGCTTGTGTTGATGCACAGCATGGTGCACAATGGGTAAGTATCCCAGTGTGCAGCCTGTCACCATCCAGTGTGCTCTCTTTTGGGAAGGTCTGGCAAGGCATGGTGGGACAGAAATTAGCCACGCAGGGGTGACTGGGAGCAAGGAGTCAAATTCCCAGCATGCAATTGTCTCCATCCCATAATGTCATCTATATCCCATAATTTTCACGCCTTTTAAAAAAAAATCCTACGAACCTAAGCAGCCATCCTCACTGTCTGCCATCGCCAACAGAAGCATGGAGCCTGCACAGCTCTACATTAGTGTGATAAACATTGCAAGTACAGGATACACGATCCTCCAGTATTTGTAGAGTTGTAAAAATAATCAAATTGGGAGGAACATGATTTCTTGGAGGACAGATTGCTGTGGGACATAGCGAGAACCAATTCAAGTTTGTTGGTGGTGTTCACAGAGCTGCTGCAGATGGTGGAGTGCCGCTTCTGGGCTCAAGAAACAAGCACTGACTAGTGGGATTGCATCGTAATGGGGGCTTGGGATGACAAGCCGTGGTTGCAGAACTTTTGGATGCCTTAAAGCCACATTCATAGATCTGTGAGCTGAGCTTACCCTAGCCCGCCAGTGCAGGAACACCAAAATGAGAGCTGCAATGACAGTGGAGAATTGAGTGACAGTTGCACTGATGGAAACTTGCAATGCCAAAGTGCTACTAGTCGGAAATTCTTTTGGAGTTGGAAAATCCACTGCTGGGGCCATTGTTATGCAAGTGTGCAGAGCCATTAATTGTCTCCTGCTACGCAGGACTGTGACTCTCAGCAATGTGCAGGACATAATGGTTGGATTTGCAGCAATGAGGTTCCTGAACTGAAGTGGAGCGGTAGATGACACCAGCCCTTGTTTTGGCACATGGCCACAGTGTACATGAACAGAAAGAACTAATTTCCTATGGTTATGCAAGTGCTATTGGCGCACCAGAGATGCTTCATCGACATCAGTGTTGACTGGTGCATGACGCTCACATCTTTAAGAGCATAGGACTGTTCAGAAAGCTACAGGCAGGGACTTTCCCAACCAGCAGATTATCACTGACAATGTTGAAATGTCAGTAGTGATCCTGGGGGACCCAGGCTACTCCTTGCTCCTCTGGCTCATGAAGCTATACACTGGCCACCTCAACAGCACTAAGGAAAGATTCAGCTACTGGCTCGGCAGGTGCAGAATGACAGTTGAATTCACTTTTGGTAGATTGAAGGGACACTAGTGTTGTTTGCTCACAAAACTGGATATCAGTGGGAAAATATATCCCAATGGTTACAGCTGCCTGCTGTGTCCTGCAAAATACCTGTGAAGCAAAAGGGGAAAAGTTGCCGTGGAGGTGGAACGGCTGTCTTCTGAGTTTGAACAGCCAGGCACAAGGACTCTTAGAAGAGCTGAGTCCAGAGGTATATGGCTCAGGGAGGCTTTGAAAGATCACTTTAACAGTGAGCCACAGTAATGCATTGTGGTGTACTGCACTGTACCTGGCCCTGCTGATTTGGGGTCTGCTAGGAATTGTGTGGTGTTTGCTGTACATCTGTGAATAACATTATCAATGCGCCTATCAATATTGTGGTGCTTGCTTTACATTTATGATTATTACACTGCATCAGGATTCCACCAAGGGAAGTCAGGGCCAATGGGCGGAGCAGATAGATATGCTCGCCAAGCTGGACAATCAGCAAAAGGCATTTCAAAAATGTGTGGGACTTTAAAGGGGCAGGGGGCCTTCTGGTCTCCATGACCCCTGGGAGAGCAGTCAGTGTTGGGCATCGTGGGGCAGTGGCTGGAGGACTCTTGGAGTCGACATAAGTAATATAGTATCTACATTCATGCTGCATTGACCTCAGTACATCAATGTGTCTCACTGCCACTTGGGAAGGTCGGTGTTACTGCGTCACTGTAATGGGGCACTTACATCAGCGGAAGACAAATTTAAGTGTAGACATACGCACAACTAGGTCAATGCAAGGCAGCTTATGTCAACCTAACGTTGTGGTGTAGACCAGGCCATAGTCTGTATCTCAGCTGACTCCTCTGGTTCTGGATACTGTACATCCAAATCCAATGCCAAGAAGCTTGTCCTAACCAGAAATGCAGGTTGACTGAACCACATCTTTCATCTCTGCTTCCAGGCTGCATCTCTCCATTTATTTCCCTCTTGGTTTGGAGAGAAATCAAAAGCTTGACAGATCTGATTACAAGATGTGTCACATACACATGAATTTCATCCATGGGAGCACACTGCTGTCACCTTCTATTCCCTTTGAGTATGTTCGCTGACATGGAACATGGTCTTTTTTTTTCTTTCTTTCCTTTTAGATGGAATGGGCCGAGTTCTTGCTCAAGACGTTTATGCAAAAGACAACCTACCCCCCTTCCCAGCATCGGTAAAAGATGGATATGCTGTCAGAGGTAAATGCTTTAACTCTAGGCATGCAGTGCATCTTTTGAAAACTCAGCATTACCCCAGATTGTTAGTACACCTTCATGCTCCAGTTAGAAGCACTTCTTTCTTGGATATAACTATTGTTATACATTTTATTTGTAGATGTCTAGATCATTACTGAAATCATGATTGTGTAAAATTCAGCCACTTTAACGGAAGACTGCAGTGATTAGTTCTAATTCTTTAAGTGAGGGGAACAGGAGAGGGGGGAATGAAAATGCATATTTACAGAGCCATGTTTAGTAAAACCTTTCAATGTTTTACTCTCTATAACTGTGCTTGGGTCTGGTAACCCTTTCAATGAAAGTTGCCGTTTTGCTGCCACTTCCCAGCAGGAAACTGACCTCATGATATAGTTGAGACCCAGGAAATGCAGTTCTTGTATGAGACGGACATGAGAATTTCAAAGAGTTTCTTGTTTTTTAGAATTTTTATTATTAAGAGTGTTTCCTATGCATCAAATATTTTATCAGACTGTTACAATTCCATCTTATTGTTTGTTTGTTTATTAATTATTTTTTATTACAGTTGATAATTTTCAAAATTGTGTCTGGGAATGCACGCTTCAGAGTAATTAGATGTAGCAATTAAAATATTTTTTATATTACACTGAAAGTTTTCCTAGGAACTTTCCTATAAAGTCTCCTTAGGCAGTATAACCTAGAGAACAGATCACTGATCTGGGACTTAGAAGATCTTGTTGTGCCGTTGGCCTGTTGAGTGACCTTGGGCAAGTCACTTCACCTTTGTGCCTCTGTTTTCCCATCTGTAAAATGGGGATAATGATATCTTGGTGCATGCTAAAACATTTGAACAGGAACTGATACATTTACAAATGGTCTGCGATAAACTTAAGTCTGCCAATCTGAAAGTGAACCCAAAGAAATTTGAGTTGTTTCAAAAAGAGGTAATTTACCTTGGGCACCCAGTCAGGTGGAAATTTCCATTGACAAAGAGAAAACTGAGGCTACACAGAACTGGCCAACTTCCCAGACACTCAGAGATGTGTAGAGTTTTGTAGGGTTCTGTTCCTATTACAGAAGGTTTATTTGTGAGTTTGCCAATATACAAAACAATTGCATAGGTTTGGTGAGAAAAGGAAACCATTTCAGAGCAGAGTGTTCTGTAGCATTTTTGGAGTTGAAAAAGGCTCTTGAGACTGCTTTTCTCTTAGCCTACCCATATTTTAAAACACCTTTTATATTGGAGGGTATTACAACAAATATCTAAGTTCTCCTGAAAGAAATTATTTCACCACCCTAAAGGAACTCCTAGCAGTGGTTAAATCTATAGGACATTTTCACCACTGTTTATATGGAAGGAAATTTGTGGTCAGGACAGACCATGCATCCCTGGAATGGCTGTTTTTAGATTCAGGAATCCTGAGGGGCCAGTTCCCAGGTACAGAGCTATGATTTCAGATGCTTATTTGGGGCTTAGAAGATCTTGTTGTGCCATTGGCCTATTGAGTGATCTTGGGCAAGTCACTTCACCTTTGTGCCTCTGTTTTCCCATCTGTAAAATGGGGATAATGATATCTTGGTGCATGCTAAAACATTTGAACAGGAACTGATACATTTACAAATGGTCTGCGATAAACTTAAGTCTGCCAAGGTGTCCCTTCCCTGCTCATTGCTGAACCTAGAGGCATATGGCTGAAGGGACAGATATCAACTCATCAATCAGAGTTTTGGGTCTTTCGTCGCATTTAGCCATCTTAGGGGGCATGATCCATAACCGAGATGACTGGGTTCCCAAGCAGGTAATAATGAAATGCATCCATTGCCAATTTTACAGTCAAGCCCTTTTTTTCAATAACAAAATAGGCCAATTCCCAGGGAAATAGTTTGCAGTTAATATAGAGCACTGGCTATTCCTCCCGCTGGACAGAAGCACACAAAGAAGGCAGCAGGAAAGCCTCAGATGCAGCCAGAGAAACACTTGTAGTGTGACTCTGAAAAAAAATTAAAAGAGGGAGCTTTTCGATAGAGTGCTGGCTGGAAAGAGGCTTAGTTTTTGTTCACAAATCAATCTCCTGCTGCTTGATTCCTATTGTGTACATTATTTGTAAATAAACAGGATTGCATCAAGACAATACCTGACTCCTCCATCAGTTTTTCCTCCTAACATACAAACCTGCAAGACCCAGAATTTTGGCGAAGTGTTCAGGTCAAAAGCCATACAGATATTAGTATTATTATTAATATTTGTAAAATGTTTTTCACATTCCATTTCAGAAAAAGATGACGATATTTGAGAATGGGAGTGATATGGTTGCACTGTTTTACATGTAAAAGAAGGTGGGCAGTAGCATAGGGTTACCATATTTTGTGCCTCCCAAAGGAGGACACTCCATGGGGCCCCGACCCCGCCCCCAGCCCCGCCCCCAGCCCCAACTCCGCCTCCTCCCCAAAGTCTCCGCCCCCTCCCCTGCTTCCCGCGACCATTTGAGTCGCGGGAAGCCTGAAGCAGGTAAGGGGGAGTGTGGGGGGAGGAGGCGCGGCCCAGGCTGGCCCGGCCCTGGGGTGCCGGCCCCGGGCCCGG